GATCCTGGAGTCCCGGGATCGAGTCCCGCATCGGGCTCCCTGCTCGGCGGGGAGTCTGCTTCTCCCTCTGACCCTCCCCCCTCTCATGTGCTCGCTCTCTCTCATTCTTTCTCTCAAATAAATAAACAAAATCTTTAAAAAATAAATAAATAAATAAAAACATTTCTGTAGATGTTTTGTAGATGAGATATTTCATGGTGTTTGTTCCTGGCCCTGAATATCAAACCTAGTCTTGTCTCATTTCTCCGTGATTGTATCTCTGACACCCAGCACCACAAGTCCCAGAACCTATCAACCTATCCATGGCCAAAGAAAAGATGAGGGCCAGCTCATCAAATTTCACCTAGACTCTCCTTTTAAGAATGGCCAGATTTTCTTAGACCTTCCTTAGATTTCCACCAAGGCAGCAGCCAGGAGGCCCAGTGAGGCCTGGCTGGGACTGGCCACTCACGTGTTCCTTAGACTTCTGTAATGTCAAAGGAAGAGTGACATACTTGCAGTGAGAGGACCCGAGTGTGACTACCTGCCCTGTCATACTCCAATGTAGGCAAGTCACACACCATGGCATCCCAGGTTCCTCATCTGTGAAGCAGAGGTGACAAGTACCTCGCAGAATTCTTTTGAGAGGAAAAAATGAGATCATGCTGGTAAAATCACTGAACAACTAAAATTATAATTTGCAGCTCTGAACTGGGATGTGAAAACGCATACAGGTCTTGTCTGTAAGACTTTTATTGTTTAAATAAGAACGTTTTTTAAATGTGCTGGCCCTAGATTTGAAATAACCGAAACCTGACAAGCAGAGAAGAAAACCTTGAGATATCACAGGCAAAGAAGAGTCTGGGCTTGGCGAGGGCGTGATGATGTATCCTGCAGAGAGATGCGGGGAACGAGGTGCTGGCAGGGGAAACAGCCTCATGCCCGAGTCTCTAGGACAACGAAGAAGGTGCTCCTTGTCTTTGGTGTCTTTGTGTGTAGGGCAGGGCTGGGCAGCCAAAGACCTCTGCCCGAACTGCAGAGCCCAGAGAAATGCCACCTGCCGTTTCTCCCATTGGTACTTTCTGGGCTTGCCTAGCAAGGACATCTACTCATTGGCTTGAGTTTAACTCAAAGAAGGGAAGTAAACGTCCCAGACACAGCCTAGATGGGACACAGATGTGAGAAAAACATCATGATTCAGAATTTTCAGGGCATCATCGGTTGCTTAGGCTAAGGGAGAATGGAGAGAGAGAGAAAGAGGGAAATTAGGCAACTTGATTATGACTTTTCTTTCCCTAAGAATCCTGATTAAAATTCAATCACAGAAGGCTTCCCAGCAAGTTCCAGTATATTCCATCCTATGGAGTGCATCCCACGGGAGATCTGGACAGTGGTTACTTGGAAGAAGGTGATGTAAAAATATGTACAATATTAACACTCCCTCAATATTACCTAGTTGGAGTAATACAAGTCTCTGAAATATGTGTCACATTAGATTTCATTTGGAACAGAAGCCCATAGTTACAAAATTTCATTAGGGAGGAGAAAAAGCAGACAGAATAAAACTAAGTGGAGTCATGAATCCAAGACTGTGTGTATGATTTATGTTTTTTGGACCCAATAAGGGTAAGTAAAAAGTAGAAAAGCATTCTCTTTTTTATGCGTGTAACTAATATAGTAAAAGGATTACCGACCATAGCTCAAGGTGAAAGCTTCCTCTAAAACCAAAAGCAACCAAAATAAAACCACAGAAATGATAATAATTAAATGCATTTTACAGCATAAAACATTTCCCTCCAAAAGTTGATTTAAAAAAAACATTTAAAAAGCTTCTGTTTTTAAAGCTTTTTAATCTCTGGCACATAACAATAATTGAAGGAATTCTGCGAAATTACACAAAAGTATTTGGTGGATTTGAATTAATGGGCCAAGCAAGCTTTTTTTCCTTGGCTTCTCTGTCAAATGAATCATAGATCGAGTCTTTGGTTATAGTTTTGGCCGTGGGAGGAATTTCTGAAATGCCAACGTAGTTTTTTTTGGCCATCCTTGAACTGGTTGTGATAGTATAGGCATTGCTTCGGTAACATTTCATTGAGGACATGCAAAAAGTCTCTTTCATTCCTCTCCTGAAATTGGCATTATAGATGGAATACAGTGTAGGTTTAGAGGCCGAAGAACTAAAGGATATCCACGTGATAGCTGTGAAAACAAGGGAACTTTTCTTAGAGTCTCGTTCATGGGGGTGCCACAGCTGAGCCACATGGAAAGGCAGCCAGGAGAGCAAAAACAACAGATTTAAAATGAGGAACATCTTGATCGTTTTCACTTTTGTCCTTGGGACAATGTTCGTGGTCCTCCTCACTGTTCGGCCATCAGTGCCTATTCTCCAAATGTACTTCACGACCTTCTGGTAAAACAAGATGATGAGGACAGACGGCATGACGAAGCTCACCAAGAAATGGATGATGGTATAGGCAGTTCCTTCCCAGGAGGAAGGGAAGAAATAGTTGCAGTGATCGTCCCAGCTGGAGCCAAAGAAAAAGAACACGGGGGTCACAAAGGCGGCATCGAAGATCCACGAAGCCGCGATCATTTTCTTGGCTTTTTCTCGGGACACCTTGAAGCTCAGGGGATAGACAATGGTGTAGAACCGGTCTATGCAGATGGAGAGGAGAACATAGATCTGGACGCCAGGGGTGAGATACTGGAAATAGCGCACAACCTTGCACATCACGCTGCCCAGCGTCCACCTGCCAGTGGCGAACTGAAGCAGGACGAAAGGCGTGCTGGCCACGCTGACGAGAAGGTCGGCGCATGCCATGGAGACCACAAAGTAGTTGGTGGTGGACTGAGTCCTCCTACTCCGGTGGATGACCAAGCAAACCAGGGAATTGCCAAAGACAGAAAACAACCACAGGGCCCCAAAGAAAATGCTGGCTGTGGCCACTTCGCCGGGTTTCAGCCCAGGCTGCAGGTCTGTTGTGTTGCTCCTCCAGCCGCGCTCCTCGTGGAATGCTGTCCGCTCGTGGCGTGGCAGGGCGGAGGCTGTTTCCGCACAGCTGTGGTTTTGCAGGGGCAACAGCAGTGTGGGAATAACCAAGGGCGGCTTGCCGTTATCCATTCTGTGAGCGAAAACCATACTCACTTGTTTCCTCTCAGTTCTGGATAAGAAAAGAAGAAGGAGGCCTCCTGTTAAAACGGTGTCATAAAGAGCGACTCCTAAGGCTAACGATCTTATCTGACACTTAGATGGGTTGTCATTCGCCAGGAAGGAGGACTTGAGCCTTGGCAGGACAACTGGACTCCTATCCAGAAACAGCCCTGGCTCCGTCTCTCTTTCGTTTCATGAGCTGTTTTAGCTGATCCCAGCTCAAGCTCTCTCTGGCCTCCCCTTCTCTTGACCTTTCGTCAAGTGAGGTGGACTCCAAGCCCCACCCCTGAACATCCCCTTGGCGCCTTCCCTCACTGGGGACCACAAAGGGTGAGGGTGCTCAGATCTGGCTCATGGTGAGGGCGCCACCCCGCAAATGAAGAGCCGGTGGAATGCGGGGCCAGTAGGTGAGAAGTTCCTAAATGTCATGACACTAAAGCAGTGAGGCTGTGAGCGGAAGACATGGGCAGATGGAAACACACAGATGTCAGCTATGGAAATAGCTCCTGGGAATCTGCAGGCAGACTGGCTGGCTCCTGCAAGTGGCCCCGTTCTTCCTTCTGCAGAGTTTCTAGTACAGACCTATTAGGGAAGTACATGGAGCCACTGTATGTAACACTTAGAAGAGCCAGAATAGCACCTAACTTAATGACATCTGAGAACGGCTCGCTTTTTTTCCAAAGATGATGTGATTCATGTTCTAATAGCTTTGCCACATATCCAGGACATATCTTGATGCCCTTCTGCTGTTACTGTTTCACAAAAGGACATATTGACAGGAGAACATACAAGACGTCCTCTAAAGAATGTACCCAGGTTACTGGAAAGCTTATGGCCGCTGCATGATTAAGAGGAACCAACTATTAACTGTTACTCAGCAGCTTTTTAAGAGCTTAGGATCCTCAGGTGCCTGGGTGGCTCATATGGTTAAGCGTCTGCCTTCGGCTCAGGTCATGATCCCAGGGTCCTGGGATCGAGTACCGTATCAGGCTCCCTGCTCCTTGGGAGCCTGCTTCTCCCTCTGCCTCTCTGTCTCTCTCTGTCTCTCATGAATAAATAAATAAAATCTTTAAAAAAAAAAAAGAGCTTAGGATCCTTAGATATAGAAGAATATTATAAAGTTTAGCCTTTATTTTAATTTTGGGGGGAACTATTTGGTGAGGAAAAAAGTTACCTTTTTTAATAGGTAAAACGATTATATAATTGTGGGCTATTCAGTTAAAATTGGGGTGACTTGGGTTGCAGTTGGATTATTAAGGTCTAATTTGATCTGAATCTATGAAGCAGAAAAGAGAAAGCACAGCACCTAAATCCAAAATAACCAGAGCAATTCCATGTGGGCTGTGGACAAGGGGAGGGCAGCAGGCTCCAGCAGGGCCCAGTGTCCCCCCTGGTGGGCTCCTGTGACTAGCCTCACAAAGAAACGTTCCTGAAGTTTTAGAGGTGGGAATAAAGAACAGTTTTTTGTTGTTGTTGTTTTGTTTTTAAAGATTTCATTTTTTTAAGTAATCTCTACACCCAACATGGGGCTCAAACTTACAACCCTGAGATCAAGAGATGCACAGTCCACCCACTAAGCCAGCCAGGTGCCCTAAGGACAGTTCTTAATGAAAGAACAGTTCTTAATGGCCCGCTTTTCCTTGAAGGACTTTTGCGCTAATTTGTGGCAGGGAGAGGAGTGTTAACATATATACTGTCCTCACCAAGAAACCACATTCAACAAAAATCTGGAGCTCAGGGCAATAATGTAGTAAATGCCAGTTCCGTATTATCTTCAGGCTTTTTTTTGTCCATGAGGCACCCCTACTTGATTTCTCAAAAGAAATGTCAGATAATTAGACATTTGACTACTAGAAGACCTTTAAGCATGGCTGGCTGGTTGACAGTCAGTTGTAAGAATAGCAACCATACTTCCATATAAAAAAATCAGGATACACAGCCTGAAAACAGAACATAAGATCTAAAATTAGCATTGTCCTAGAAAATCTGGAACGCATGACCCTTCTACTTCTAAAATTGAAATAATCTCTTCACCTTCATATGTGTAAAACCTACAAAATGCCCCCCCAATTTTTTTTTAAGATTTAAACTTTAGGGGTGCCTGGCTGGCTCAGTCAGTGGAGCATGCAACTTGACCTCAGGGTTATGAGTTCCGAGCCCCATGTTGGGTATAGAGATTACTTACAAACAAAATCTTAATAAAATAAAAGATTTAAAGTTTAAAGCAGACGAGCAATTTTCCCAGGCAGAAGGAGCTGTTCTAAACTTTTTGGGGATGCCTGTGGCCTAAATAAAACAGAAGTTGGTGGCACAGGCACTATTCTGCAGTCAATACACATATTTTGAAACCTGTGAACTTACTTTTGTTTCTCTCTTCCTCTCATAGCAAAACCCTGCAGATGAAACTCAAGTTCACCACCACAACTAAGGCACCGTGAGGCCTCCCATCTGCCATCATTTCCTCCAGCTGCATGTCACCAGTGAGTGTGTCTGCCCACTCCTCTAGCCCCACCCCTGGGAAGCAGAGGATCCCACTCCTCAGAAATTGGACAAGGGAGCCTTGAGGAGCTCCTGAGTCCAGGTCTCCCCTGATGACGGCACGGCTGTTCTGACTCTACCTAAAACTGCTGCAGCTCTGTTTTTTCATTCAGTAAACCAAGACACTATGCTAGGTACTAGGGAAACAAAGATCAGTAAGGTCCAGAAGAGGGCAAATGTATAAACAAGCTGCCTGACCATATTATAACTAAATTCTGTAATAATTATAACTGATGCTAACAAGACAAGGAGCTAAGTGGCAGAGAAAAACGAGGATCCAATTTTGTACGGGATAGGAGAAGGAAAGGGAAGATTTCACAAAGGAGGTGAGGTCTGAGTTTGGGACGTGGAGGCTAGGACTTCTTCAGGAAGACAAGGGAGTGAAAAAAACATTCCAAGGGAGAGACAGAGCCCATGGAATGGTTGCGGGGGGCGGTCATCTTTTCTGGGTTGATCTTTTTTGGGCCCTTTTCCTTTCAGAGACGACATTCTCTACAAACCACACCTCCCAGAGTTTATCGTTTCTAAATGCCCTATAATCAGACTGACCTAACTTTTCCCCAAGGTTACAATGAGAGGTTACATTTTCTGCATTCATGGGCTGTGATGTGGTCAGACAGTGGATGAGAATATTGACATATCCAGAATGGCTGTGGTATCCTCGTTCACACAGCACTTTACTACAGCATTTTCCAAGTGTGTTTTGCTTTATAGCAACGATTCTCTAGCTTAGCAACGCATTGGACTCTTCCAGGGAGCTTTAAAAAAATACCCCTGCCCTGGTCCTACCCCCAAAGATTCTAATTTAATTGGTCTGGAGAGCAGCCTGGGCAGTGGGAAATTTCAGAGTTCCCCAGGTGATCTTAATGGGCAGCCGAGATCAGGAATCCCTGCTTTAGAACTGTTTCCATGTTTCTGTCTTCCCCCACCAAGCTGGGGGCTCCCAGGGGAAGAATGCTATTCTTTTTCTTTACATTAATAATTGTTTATTAAGTATTTACTGAATGGAATCCATAAGGACAGAGAACTGAAATGCATGACTCCTGCTCTAGGGGGCTCTGCTAGGAGAATTCAACCAGAGATAGTGATTGTGTCTTCTCCTGAGCTGAAACACTGGTGACCGTGCAGACGGGGAAAACAGACTCTTGAGCAGAGCAGGGCAGGCGAAATTGAAGTCACCCTGGACTACTGCTACCTGTAGCAGAATTCTCATTGAAGGGAGAGTGAAGGTAGCTGAGGTGTCCTCAGACAGGCTTCTGCAATCCCCACTCCGGAAAAAAATAGTCTGCCATATTATAAGTAAGTTCTAGGGTCCCAAAGTAAAATTTCAAAAAGGTCTCCCCTACTCCATTAAGTTGGAAATAAATCCCTCTTCAGGGGAGAGTTTCTGAAATACAAGGGCTGCTTAACTAATTATTATGTCTGGGTCATCCATATGCAGTAATATTAACAGCCATAGGAAAGACTTCTTCACCTCTTTCCCGCTCAATCTATGTCTTCCCAACCAGTTCTGAGACTGCCACATGACACACCCCACTGAGGTGAGTAGTGAAGGCCCTTATTAAAATATATCTCTAATACACACACACACACACACACACACATCACCTGGCTGGCTCAGATGGTTAAGTGTCCAGCTCTTGGTTTCGGCTCAGGTCATGATCTTGGGGTCATGAGACTGAGCCCCACAGTAGGCTCTGCACTGGGCATGGAACCTGCTAAGATTCTCTCTCTCTCCTTCTCCCTCTGCCCCTCCCGCCCCCCACTTTCTCTCTCTCAAAAAAATAAATAAATAAAAAATAAAAAATAAAGTATCCAATACTTGAAAATAAGGCAAAGAGAGTCTAGCATATCTTTTTAATGTCATGCTAGGACGTTAAATGGGCTTCCCCCAAGAATTATTTAAATCTCTGAGAGAATGCATCCATGCTTGATTTTGCTATTACTATATGACAAGAGCCAAGACAAGGTGAAGGTACGTGTTAACGTGCAGATTTCTGTCCAGCAGAAAAAATAACCCCCAAGGTTATGAACTTATTGCTCTGTAGGACATTAACCAGTTTTGTGTCTATCTCGCAATCTTATGTCCACCTTTTTTTTAAAACAACAACAACAACAACAATAACAAAACCCTATATATACCTATTCTTATTCAAATGCTCTTGGAGCCAGGCTAATGATCTCACTGGTTCCTTCAGTAGTAAGTTGATAAATCTCTGACATACATTCATCCTCTATTTGTAGAAGAGTCATTATTTTATTTATTTATTCATTTATGGGGGGAGGGGCAGAAGGAGAAAGAGAGTATCTTAAGCAGACTCCACACCCAGCATGGAGTTGATCCCATGACCCTGAGATCATGACCTGAGCCGAAATCAAGCCTTAGAAGCTTAACCAACTGAGCCACACAGGCACCCCCAAGAATCATGATCTTAGCTTTTTGAAAATCACCCTGAGAGGTGGATGAATGTA